GCATAACAGATTTCTTCGCCCGCAACCCACCACAGCCAGCCCAAGCCAGTGATAGTGACAGTGAAGATGACTTTGAGGGATTTGTCAGGGAAGCCCTGACAACTGTAAGTGACAGTGATGGTGATGCACCTAGTAATGGTGATTCACCTGAGGGCCAGTAGCCTGCCCTCTGCCTCGGAACCAGCCTCCATCCCCGTACGCCGACCCATCTCTTCTACTAACGTAAGTGTTCCACCTAACTTTTAGTTTTCCTAACCTAACCTTTATTTTTCCTATGTTAACCTTTATTTTTCCTAACCTAACCTCTTCTATATTACTTGTTTTTTCATACCATCATAAAGTTAAGATAAAATTTTTACTACAACATAGTTGTGTGTCGTCAAAAAGTGGAGTTTGGGGGTCGGCCCGGACTCTATTTCAATTAATCCCATATGTTATGTTATTCACTTTACGCGTTCCTCACTTTCCGCGGGACCCTGCGGGTTACATTAACCGCGTAAAGTGAGGGTTGACTGTATATGTAATGTATTTCATGAGGCAAAGGGAGGCTCAGGAACGTAACTCCCGTATTTTATCTATTTCTTGTGGGGAAAATTGATCCACTAAAAGTTGTTTCACATAACATCGCGATTTCAGGAACGTAACCCCAACGTTAAGCGAGAGCTTACTGTACTCACACTTACATACAGATTAAATAATTTTATTGTGATTACCAACATAAAACTGTCTAGATAATGTATTTACAATGCTAATGAAACAAACCCGACCTTTTTATCTCCAATAGTAAGCTTGCTATGACTCAGTATGTACAATTATCTTTTGCGCTGGGAGCAAAAAAATTAATTATCTGTACTCAGCCTGGACACACTCATGAGAATGCACAATTTACACTACTACTACCTAGCCAAATATTAATTTTCTCACAACCTTTCTTCGAGGACTGTTTTTTTCTAAATATGTAAACTTTATAATGTAATAAGGTCTAAGTCGAGGGTTCCCGAACCTGGGGTCGCGACCCCAAATGGGGTCGGAAGGCTCATTAGGTAGGGTCGCAAAGAGGTCATGGGGTCGCTGGGGTCCTTGGGTCTGCCAGTGAAATGATTTGGGGTCGCACTGGATAGGTGACAACACTGGATGGGGTCGAATAGAAAAAGCTTGGGAACCCCTGGTCTAAGTGATGTATAAACATTTTCATTAAGAGGAAACAAAAAATTAGTGTTCTACTCAAGTAATCACTGATATAAAACTGTTTTGAGATAATGTATTTACAATGTTAATGCAACAAAACCCACCTTTTTGTCTCACATAGGAAGCATGCTATGACTCATTGTGTACAATTATCACTTGTGTGGTGCAGTGAGGTGAGTTACACCCCGATCAACTCTCCAGAGACCACCTTCCTAAACCCAAGACTGTTAACGCAGACGTATCTAGCCACAGTATATCTCTATGTAGCAATTAGATGGTCATCAATTACACACATGTATCTAGCCAAAGAACATCCCATAGCAGTCGGTGGTCATCAATCTGTAGAAGGTTCAAATGATCCCTATACACCCCTTCTCTCCAGAGTGTAGAGTCATGAGCTAAGGCACTACTAGTTGCATCTTCACAGCTTCATTCTCACTAGTGACACTTGAAGTACTGCACGTCTGGTAACTCTGTGTCTCTTGACGGGTTATATAGTAGAGAACACAGGAGTTATTTCTGCCCTGTGAAAGCTTATGGGTACTCGGAGGCCGCCGTAACTTTTGCTGTACGATAAGTTGGCTTACGGTCACCATAAATTGTTAGTAAATCACCCGTTCAGCCTTAAGATTGAAAGTAGGGACTTAGAGTGACTGTAGGTCATTAGTGAATCTGGGCCCAGCATAGTATGTTATAAGGACATCATTGTAAGCTGATTTGCTGAAAGCTCTTCAGGAACACATCCTGACCTTTTAACGGGCATTATTATACCCCTAATTACATTACTTCTTGTAGGGAAATTTTTTCTTTAAAACGGTTCGCTATAAGTTGCATTACTCTGGAACACATCCCAACGTATAATGAAGACCGCTTGCACAATAAGTGAACAAGGGGGGACTTAATATTAGTAAAAAAGCACCTCAGAAAACATCACTCAGTTAAGTTTTCATATCTGGAGCTGTTGGATACCCACCCCACTTAAGGGTCACAGCTCGCTGTTCACAAAATTGTCAGGGCAAACTTTTTTGGAGTGAGAGTTATGAACTCTTGGAACAGTGCCAGAGAGTGTGGTGACGGCACTGAGTGTGAGATCATTCAAGACCAGATTTGACCAACACTAACGCAGGTACAGATAAATTCAGGAGCCAGTACTTGCCAACAGTGTGTAACAAAGATGTGACCACCCCAAGTGGCTAGTGAGTTGATCAGTGGTGATGAGGATAAAAGTAATGGCAATATTGCTGACCTTACAAATCAAACACACTAATATTGTTTCATTAATTCATAAGGTCTTTTTACCTATTAAAAGTAACAGACTAATGGTTTCGATCAAATCAAGTCCTACTTTTATAAGAATTTTATAAGTGAATCCCAGCAAGTGAGATCGTCATAACTCAGATTTATCAACACAGATTTACAAATATACAGGTAGAGTATATTAGGGATTCCTCTGACTTTGCTAAATGATAAATTGAAGCTTTACCAACCAAATCTACCTATCATTAGTTTACTGTGTTACTGAAGCTTTACCAACCAAATCTACCTATCATTAGTTTACTGAGTTACTGAAGCTTTACCAACCAAATCTACCTATCATTAGTTTACTGTGTTACTGAAGCTTTACCAACCAAATCTACCTATCATTAGTTTACTGTGTTACTGAAGCTTTACCAACCAAATCACCTATCATTAGTTTACGAGTTACTAGCTTTACCAACCAAATCTACCTATCATTAGTTTACTGTGTTACTGAAGCTTTACCAACCAAATCTACCTATCATTAGTTTACTGTGTTACTGAAGCTTTACCAACCAAATCTACCTATCATTAGTTTACTGAGTTACTGAAGCTTTACCAACCAAATCTAACTATCATTAGTTTACTGTGTTACTGAAGCTTTACCAACCAAATCTACCTATCATTAGTTTACTGTGTTACTGAAGCTTTACCAACCAAATCTAACTATCATTAGTTTACTGTGTTACTGAAGCTTTACCAACCAAATCTACCTATCATTAGTTTACTGTGTTACTGAAGCTTTACCAACCAAATCTAGCTATCATTAGTTTACTGTATTACTGAAGCTTCACCAACCTAATCTAGCTATCGTTAGTTTACTGTGTTACTGAAGCTTCACCAACCTAATGTAGCTATCGTTAGTTTACTGTGTTACTGAAGCTTCACCAACCTAATCTAGCTATCGTTAGTTTACTGTGATACTGAAGCTTCACCAACCTAATGTAGTTATCGTTAGTTTACTGTGTTACTGAAGCTTCACCAACCTAATCTAGCTATCGTTAGTTTACTGTATTACTGAAGCTTCACCAACCTAATCTAGCTATCGTTAGTTTACTGTGTTACGGCTTACCAACCTAATCAAGCTATCGTTAGTTTACTGTGATACTGGCTTCACCAACCTGATAGAGCTATCGTTAGTTTACTGTGATACTGAAGCTTCACCAACCTAATGTAGCTATCGTTGGTTACTGTGATACTGAAGCTTCACCAACCTAATTAGCTATCGTTAGTTTACTGTGATACTGAAGCTTCACCAACTAATCGCTATCGTTAGTTTACTGTGATACTGGCTTCACCCCTAATTAGCTATCGTTATTTACTGATACTGAAGCTTCACCTTAATAGCTATCGTTATTTACTGTGTTACTGAAGCTTCACCAACCTAATCTAGCTATTGTTAGTTTACTGTGATACTGAAGCTTCACCAACCTAATCAAGCTATCGTTAGTTTACTGTGATACTGAAGCTTCACCAACCTAATGTAGCTATCGTTAGTTTACTGTGTTACTGAAGCTTCACCAACCTAATCTAGCTATCGTTAGTTTACTGTGATACTGAAGCTTCACCAACCTAATCGAGCTATCGTTAGTTTACTGTGATACTGAAGCTTCACCAACCTAATCAAGCTATCGTTAGTTTACTGTGATACTGAAGCTTCACCAACCTCATAGTAGCTATCGTTAGTTTACTGTGATACTGGCTTCACCAACCTAATGTAGCTATCGTTAGTTTTACTGTGTTACTGAAGCTTCACCTAATCTAGCTATCGTTAGTTACTGTGATACTGAAGCTTCACCAACCTAATCAAGCTATCGTTGGTTTACTGTGATACTGAAGCTTCACCAACCTAATGTAGCTATCGTTAGTTTACTGTGTTACTGAAGCTTCACCAACTCTAGCTATCGTTAGTTTACTGTGATACTGAAGCTTCACCAACCAGCTATCGTTAGTTTACTGTGATACTGAAGCTTCACCAACCTAATCTACCTATCATTAGTTTATTATGTTACTGAAGCTTCACAAGGAATAATGTTGGACAAGTAGATACAGCACTCACCTCCTGTTCCTCAGGGTCGGTGGTTCAATCACTGGGCACTCCTAATTCCTCAACATAGAATGAAGGCGGTCAAGAACAGTAGCTAAGACTTAGTATACAGTGGGCTCTATCCACACTGTCTCTTAACAGGTAATCATGCGTATGGGACCATCTTTCACCTTCCTGATACTGTATATTGTTACCAAATATGTAGTTAAAAGATAACATTTCTAAAGGTACAATCCTGCTGGGAGGTATTTGGGACAGATATGACTTGCTTTTCACTCTGATTTTCATATACAGGGTACAGTATTTCCAAAAAAACTATTGTTGCCAATACAATCCTCCATCTATACGTTTCCTTACCATTCTGGAATGTGATCATTGCCCTTTTCACTTTTAACCCCAAAATTATCATCGTCAATGTTTTATGGTCATTTTCCATGCTTGTGTAGTAAAGAATACATAAGGTCCTCACCCCGGGTCTGTTGCGCATTTCTCTTGCTCTGTTCATCATCATTTGTTGCTCCACTCTCAATTTGTTCCTGCCGCTTAGCTCTAGGGTAGCTCCTGCAGGCCTCTGGCGGCGGCGGGGAGGCTAAGACGGCAAAGTCGCACTTGCACCACGAGCTAGCCAACTCGGTACCCACGGCACTTGTTGTATGTACAGAATATTGTATCGATAAAAAACCCGCTATCTGAAAGGAGAATAAGCATTAAACAAGTGGTACAGTTGAGTACAGTCTATTCTTATATTTACAAGACCTATTCGAAAACTGATCTTGTGTCTGGTGACTGCAGGAAACATAACCCTTCTCCAAAAACACTTAAAATAAAATTCAGTTTTTACCTAAAGGTTTGGCACCAAATTCTTTGCATATAAAAGTACTTTCCTTAACAGCAGCAAAGTACTGTAATGGGTAGTGAATCCTTGATTAGAGTTAGACTAGGAATATACTGTAAAATAATGTACACAAATATATGAATAACCCTGAAAAATAAACACAGACACTTGGCTGGTAAAATGATGCCTCCACTCCACCTTAACCTGTAACCCACAAACTTGTCTTCCCACTAATTACTCTTTATGTTTTTAGTTACATTATAAAAAATTACCTGAACAAAATCATGTTTACTGTAAATAAGTTGTGAAGTATAATTATAACACAGCTAAACCAGCAACAGGTGCCGCTGTGGTGTGGGAGTGAGAATCTCATTGTGAAAATTTTCTCAATGTTTTATCTACAGTACTGCCACATTATCTACAGTACTGCCACATTATCTACAGCACTGCCACATTATCTACAGTACTGCCACATTATCTACAGTACTGCCACATTATCTACAGCACTGCCACATTATCTACAGTACTGCCCATATCTCTGCACATTATCTACAGTACTGCCCATCTCAGTACTGCCATTATCTACACTGCCCATTATCCATATCTACAGTACTGCCACATTATCTGAAGTACTGCCAACACACATTATCTACAGTACTCCACATATCTACAGCACTGCCAATACTGCCACTTATCTCACAGTACTGCCACATTATCTAGCTACATTATCTACAGCACTGCCACATTATCTACATCACTACCCCTACTATCTACCAGTACTGCCACTATCAGTACTGCCACATTATCTACAGCACTGCCACTATCTGCTGCACACATTATCTACAGTACTGCCACATTATCTAGCACTGCCACATTATCTAACTACCACATTATCTACAGTACTCCATTATCTGTGCACCCACATTATCTACAGTACTGCCACATTATCTACCCTTCTCACATTATCACAGCACTGCCACCATTATCTACAGCTACTGCCACATTATCTACAGTACACCACATATCTACAGTACTGCCCACATTATCTACGAGTGCTACCATTATCTACAGTGCTGCCCACATTATCTACAGTACTGCCACATTATCTACATACGCACATTATCTACATTATCACAGTACTGCCATTATCACAGCATGCTACCACATTATCTACAGTACTGCCCATTATCTACCAGTACTACCCATTATCTAGTACTGCCACATTATCTACCAGTACTGCCACATTATCTACAGTACTGCCACATTATCTACAGTACTGCCACTTATCTGCACTGCCACATATATCTACAGTACTGCCACATTATCTACAGCACTGCCATTACACATACTGCTCACATTATCTACAGCACTGCCATTATCTACAGTACTCGCCACATTATCAACTGCCACATTATCCTAGCACTGCCACATTATCACAATGCTGCCACGTATCTACAGCACTGCCACTTATCTACAATTGCTGCCCATTATCACTACATTCTGCACACTACATTATCTGCAGTACTGCCACATTATCTGCAATCTGCCATTATCTAGTACTGCCACCTATCTACAATGCTGCCACATTATCTACCAGTGCTGCCACATTATCTGGCACTCTCCACATTATCTACAGCACCCGCATTATCTACAGCACTACCACATTGTCTACAGTGCCGTATCTACAGTACTGCCCATTATCTACAGACTCCAAGCACACAATCTCAGCTGCCACATTATCTACAGCACTACCCACATTATCTACAGTACTGCCACATTATCTCTACCAATCTGCCACTTATCTACAGCACTGCCCATTATCTACAGTACTGCCACATTATCTACAGCACTGCCACATTATCTACAGCACTGCCACATATCTACAGCACTGCCACATCATTTACAGCACTGCCACATTATCTACAGCACTGCCACATTATCTACAGCACTGCCACATTATCTCTACAGCACTACCACATTATCTACAGTACTGCCACATTATCTACAGTACTCCACATTATCTACAGCACCACATTATTCACAGTACTGCCACATATTCACAGCACTGCCACATTCACAGTACTGCCACACATCTGGCTATACTGCCACATTATCTACAGTACTGCCACATTATCTACAGTACTGCCACATTATCCAGCACTGCCACATTATCTACAGCACGCCACACATTCACAGCACCACATTATCTACAGCACATTATCTACAGTACTGCCACATTATCTACAGCACTGCCACATTATCTACAGCACGCCACACATTATGCCAGCACTGCCACATTATCTACAGCACTGCCACACACATTCACAGTACTGCCACATTATCTACAGCACTGCCACATTATCTACAGTACTGCCACACATTCTACAGCACTGCCACATTATCTACAGTACTGCCACATTATCTACAGCACTGCCACATTATCTACAGTACTGCCACATTATCTACAGCACTCCACATTATCTACAGTACTACATTATCTCCAGCACTGCCACATTATCTACAGTACGACATTATCTGCAGTACTGCCACATTATCTACAATACTGCACACATTATCTACAGCACTCACCATTCACAGTACTGCCACATTATCTACAGCACTGCCACATTATCTACAGCACTGCCACATTATCTACAGTACTGCCACATTATCT